TAGGTTGGTAACAGCAACCACCCAGGGAGGAACTACCGTCCTGTGGTAGTGGGTTTGGGTTTAGACAGAAAACCACCCAGGGGGGTTACTCCCTTTCCTGTGGTAGTAGGTTGGTAAAACAGCAACCCCCCCGGGGATTTTAACACCGCCCTGTGGTAAGTGGGTTTTAGAAAAGCAACCACCCGGGGAGGAATCCCGTTTTTTGGGTTTGTAGGTTGGTAGACGCAAACCACCCAGGGGGCACAAACCGTCCTGGGGGTTAGTGGGTTGGTAACAGAAACCACCCGGGGAGGAAACTCCCGGTCCGGTGGTAGTAGGTTTGGTAACAGAAACCCAACCCAGGGAGGACTACCGTCCTTTTGGTAGTGGGTTTGGGTAGACAGCAACCACCCGGGGAGGTACTCCCGTCCTGTGGTAGTGGGTTTGGGTAGACAGCAACCACCCGGGGAGGTCTCCCGGCCTGGGGTTTAGTAGGTTGGTAGACAGCAACCCCCCCATTGGGGTTTCTACTGTCCTGGGGAAAATTTAGGTTGGTAGCCCAAAACCCACCCAGGGGGGTACAAACCGCCCCTGTGGTAGTGGTTGGTAAAACAGAAAACCCCACCCAGGGGAGGAAACCCCCTTTCCTGTGGTAGTGGGTTTGGTAGACAGCAACCACCCACGGAGGGAAATTACCGCCCTGTGGAAAGTAGGTTGGTAGACAGCAACCACCCAAGGAGGTACTCCGCCCCCGGGGGTTAGTAGGTTGGTAGACAACAACCCCCCAGGGGGGTTCTCCCGTCCTGTGGTAGTGGGTTGGTAGACAGCAACCACCCAGGGGGGGTACTACCGTTTTGGGGTATTTGGGTTTGGGTAGCAGAAACCCACCCGGGGAGGTACAAACCGCCCTGGGTAGTGGGGTTTGTAGACAGCAACCGCCCAGGGAGGTATTTACCGCCTGGGGTAGTAGGTTGGTAGACAGCAACCCCCCCAGGGGGGGGTACAAACTGTCCTGTGGTAGTAGGTTGGTAGACAGCAACCACCCGGGGAAAGGTATTTATTTGTCCTGTGGGTAGTGGTTGGTAGCACCCAACCACCCGGGGAGGTATACCGTCCTGTGGTAGTAGGTTGGTAGAGCAAACCACCCGGGAAAGGTTTACAACCGTCCTGTGGTAGTGGGTTGGTAGACAGCAACCACCCAGGGGGGTATTTACCGGTCCTTTTGGTGTATTTTGGTTAGACGGGCAACCCCCGGGGAGGTACAAACGTCCTGTGGTAGTAGGTTGGAAAGACAGAAATCCACCCAGGGAGGTACTACCGTCCTGTGGTAGTGGGTTGGTAGACAGCAACCACCCGGGGAGGTACTCCATCCTGTGGTATGGGTTTGGTAGCCCGGCCAACCACCCGGGGAGGTACTACCGTCCTGTGGTAGTAGGTTGGTAGACAGCAACCACCCGGGGAGGTACTACTGTCCTGGGGGTATTAGGTTGGTAACAGCAACCACCCAGGGAGGAAATACCGCCCTTGGTAGTGGGTTTGGGGTAAAACAGCAACCACCCAGGGGGTACTCCCGCCCTGTGGAAAGTATTTTGGGTAGCCCAGAAAACCACCCAGGGAGGTATTTCCCACCCTGGGGTAGTTTGGTAGACGGCAACCACCCGGGGAAGGTACTACCGTCCTGGGGTTTAGTAGGTTGGTAGACAAAAACCACCCGGGGAGGTACAACCTTTCCTGGGGTTAAAAAGGTTCCCTTTAGTCTGAATAACAGTAAATCTTCTTTTTTTTGTGTGAAAAAAAATTAAAAATGAAAATCAAGATAATAAAAAGGGGGGGGGACTAGAAACGGGGACTAATGAACAAAGAAAATGTTTTTTTTAATGTAAGAATGTTGCATTTTTTTCGGGGCCCTTTTTTTTAAAATTGGGCCCCCTTTCTTGAATTTTGGGGAAATTTGGGCCCAAAAATTAGTAATTTTGACCCACTTATTGTGTAGTTGAAATAGGAAAATTTTGGGCATTTCTTGTATTCCCCTCGACAGAAAAAAAAAAACGTTCTAATAAAATGCTAGGGTTTTTTGGCCAAAACTGGAAAAAAAGGGAATTGGCCTAAAAAAAGGGGCTAAAATTGGACAAAATCGCCAATGCTTTAAATATTGCCTAGATTGCTAACTTCGAAGGCAAAATTCCAAAAATTTTTCCATAAAATTTTTCATAATTTTACTTTCATTACCTCCTGAAAAAGATTCTCTACCATTTCATAAGAAAAAAATATAAAAACTTTCTAAGAAAATTCTTGGACAGTGTGAACAAGTTTCAGATCAAGTATGGACAGTGGAAGGGTTAAGGATAAAGCTAGATACATGGGGATGAAAAATGATAGACAAGGACAGGAACAATACAGGTTGAAAGAACCGTTCAGCATAATAAATTATTGTTAGGATGAAGTGATTTTTAACAGTACCTTTGAAGTGGTTGACAGATACAGATAGACTTTGGAATTTTCAGGTGGAGAGCTTCAGATTTTAGGTCCTTTTATGCACTTGGAGGTTTTTGCAAAGATTAAGCAAGATGCATGGTATATCAGATTTTTGTGTTTAGTATTATGCATACGAGTTCTGTTGCAACTATCAAGAAAGTGTTTCGAGGCAGGATTGATATTAGAATTTACTGTCCTGTATTAGTAGTATGTACAGTAGTAAGAGTGAATATTTTGTATATTTAGTAAGTTTAGGTCTTTGAAGAGTGGAGGTGTTGTGTGGCAGCAGACCGAGTGATCATTCATCATGCCATTTTTTATTGTGTTACTTACGACGGGTTCTCTGCCCAGTATGCATGCCTAAATAATGTATACTAGAGCTGATTTTCTCTATTCTGTTTATTACAATATAGAGTATACTACTGTATAAACATTTAAAAATATACCAGAAATGTTATAAATGGTGCAACGGTGACATTAAAACAATATCAAAGATAGCTGACACAAACCCACTACCATTAAAGTATGCTCCTCACTTAGAGACAAATTCGTTTACCGAAGTGGTCTTAGGAATGGAACTCCGTCGTTAAGTGACGAGAGGCTGTATTATTGGCTTAAAGTGATTTGCTATTGTGGATCCCCAGGCACAAATAACATAGGTGAGGTAGGGGTAGGTTAGAGACTGGTATAATGTAAGTAGTGCTGTTTGAAGAACATTGTAATATATCTTGGAAATGATGCCAATTAATTTGGATACAAGTGTTCCTCAACTTACGATGGTGTCCCAGTGAACACTTTGATATACCAAGCACCAGACAAGCCTGGCCATGGGCCAGGCTTGTCTGGTGCTTGCCCGATCAACCAGGCTGTTGCTGCTGGAGGCCTGCTGCCCCACATATCCATCACAGCCTGGTTTATCTGGCACCTGGTGAAGAGACTTGTCCAGTTTCCTCCTGAAGGCTTCTACACTTCTTCCAGCTGTGTTTCTGATATCTTCTGGTATGTTGACTGGTCTGGGACCCCAGATTATCTCCACCACACCCCTGCTCCTCACTGGGTTTATTTTGCACTTCCTCCCATATCTCTCACTCCAGTATGTTGTTATGGCAGTGTGCAGATTTGGGACCAGGCTCTCGAGTACTTTCCAGGTATATATTATCATGTATCTCTCCTCTGCTCTAATGAGTACATGTTCAAGACTTGAAGACGTTCCCAGTAATTTAGGTGCTTTATTGGCTCAATGTGAGCTATAAACAATCTCTGTATTTGTTCCAGCTCTGATATTTCTCCTGCTTTGAATGGGACCGTCAGTACTGAGCAATATTCTAAATGAGGGAGCACTAGCGATTTGAAGGGTGTCACCATCAGCATTATTTCCCTTATTTTGAAAGTTCTCAATACCCACCCTGCCATCTTCCTGGCTGTCATGATCTTTGTCTTATTTTGATCTTTAAAAGAAATGTCAGCTGATATAATTATTCCCAGGTCTTTTACGTGTTCTTTTTGTTCTATTTGGTGACCCTCTTGAGTTCTGTATATAGTGTTCCTTTTGAGTTCTTCATTCTTTCCATACTTAAGCAGCTGGAACTTATTACCACTGAATGTCATATTGTTCTCCACTGCCCACTAGAAAACTTTGCTTATGTCTTCCTGTAATTTTTCAGTGTCCTCTACCGTAGTGCCTTTCATGCTTAGTTTAGTGTCATCTGCAAATGATGATACAAAAGTGTGACAGGTGTTTTTATCTCTGCTATGAGGATGAGAAACAGCAGAGGTGCCAGGAAAGTGCCTTGGGGCACTGAGCTTTTTACCTCGCTGATGCTGGATCTTGATCTTTTACTACTACTTTTTGTGTTCTGTGTGTTAGGAACCTGAAAATCCATCTGCCTACCTTCCCCATAATGCCCATGGCCCTAATTTTGTGTGTTTCCATTCCAGGATCTCATTTGTCAATGCCTTTGTAAAATCTGTGTAGATCACATCTGCATTTTGGTCATCTTAAAACACCAACCCCATCATAAGTCAAAAATATCACAAGTCAAATATGAATATACTATATGATATGATAAATAAATTTTGTCAGCTCTATAAGTGCTGCAGGGTAAAACATACTAGATACATATTACAAAATACTTAAATCATTCCAATACAAATATTAACCACCAATAATTCTGCATCCACCTCAGCCCAGCTAACCCATATCAACCCCCTCCATCTTTTCTCAAATTTGGAGGTGTACAGAACATAACCTTAAATAACAAAAAGGCACAATACCGTGACTGGAACGATACACAAATAACCCGCACATAAAAGACAGAAGCTTACGACGACGTTTCGGTCCGACTTGGACCATTGACAAAGTCACACTAACAGAGGAGGAGCAGAACGGCTATATATAGGCAGGAAGAGGTGCCTATATATAGCCGTTCTGCTCCTCCTCTGTTAGTGTGACTTTGTCAATGGTCCAAGTCGGACCGAAACGTCGTCGTAAGCTTCTGTCTTTTATGTGCGGGTTATTTGTGTATGGAACATAACCTTGTTTTCCCCATAAGTTGCTCACTTCACAAGCAGGTTTTCAGGAACATAACTCGTGCATTACGAGGGGTTTACTGTATATAACATTTAAAGATCCACACCTCCTACCTTTAGTATACTGAGGAAAATTGATGACAACAGGCTCCATGAATCCAGTAGCAGCACGAAACTTTTCAATAGGCAGTGATGATAAGAAGATGACAATAATATTGATATCCTGGGTAAGCTCCTGTAACCTACATAACACAGGCAGAATGTTGGCATCAGAGTCACGGAGACGCTCACTCTGTTCTAAAACCTGTTACAAAAGAGTGAAGAAATAAATATTATAAACAGTTTGCTTGCATTCAGACAACTTAAGGAGAAAAAACTATTTATGTACTATCACAGTATAACACACTGCATCATCACTATGTACTATTACAGTATACCACACTGCATCACCACTATTTATGTACTGTTACAGTATAGTACACTGCATCACCACACTGTACTCTTACAGTATAGTACACTGCATCACCACTATTTATGTACTCTTACAGTATAGTACACTGCATCACCACACTTTACTCTTACAGTATAGTACACTGCATCACCACTATTTATGTACTCTTACAGTATAGTACACTGCATCACCACACTGTACTCTTACAGTATAGTACACTGCATCACCACTATTTATGTACTCTTACAGTATAGTACACTGCATCACCACACTGTACTCAAAAGGGGTGTTGAAAAAGTCATACAACGTGTGCCATGTTATCCACCCTTACAATGCTGCCTGTCCTTGACTACACTGCAGACCCAGGCTTTATTTACTACTGCAGTTTTACAGCCATTTTGACTGATTACAACAAAGTCTTCTCAGTATAGTAATTCTACACTTGTTGAGCATACCATTGCTTGAGTTAGCAAGAGCCAAGAAGATTATTACTTTTTTTTTTACACAAACTGGCCATTTCCCACAAAGATAAAAACAAAAAAGGTTCACCATCACTCATTCAAAACAAGTCTTGCCAGAAGTCTGTGTAGATACCACAGTTCAAATGACCCTCTGAACTGCAATATCTCCATCCTTCCTTCACAGTACAGGTACTGTACTTCCCACCTCCATCCTTCCTTCACAGTACAGGTACTGTACTTCCCACCTCCATCCTTCCTCACTACAGTACGCTTCCCACCTCCACCCTTCCTTCACAGTACAGGTACTGTACTTCCCACCTCCATCCTTCCTTCACAGTACAGGTACTGTACTTCCCACCTCCATCCTTTTTCACAGTACAGGTACAGTACTTCCCACCTCCATCCTTCCTTCACAGTACAGGTACTGTACTTCCCACCTCCACCCTTCCTTCACAGTACAGGTACTGTACTTCCCACCTCCACCCCTCCTTCAGAGTGCAGGCACTGTACTTTCCACCACCACCCCTCCTTCAGAGTGCAGGCATTGTACTTCCCACCTCCACCCCTCCTTCTGAGCGCAGGCACTGTACTTCCCACCTCCATCCCTCCAGAGTGCAGGCACTGTACTTCCCACCTCCACCCTTCCTTCACAGTACAGGTACTGTACTTCCCACCTCCACTCCTCCTTCAGAGTGCATGCACTGTACTTCCCACCTCCCCCCTCCAGAGTGCAGGCACTGTACTTCCAACTTCCACACCTCCTACAGAGTGCAGGTACTGTACTTCCCACCTCCACCCCTCCTTCAGAGTGCAGACATATTACTTTCCATCACCACCCTTCCTTCAGAGTGCAGGCATTGTACTTCCCACCTCCACCCTTCCTTCAGAGTGCAGGCACTGTACTTCCCACTTCCACAGCTCCTACAGAGTGCAGGTACTGTACTTTACACCCCCACACCACCTTCAGAGTGCAGGCATTGTACTTCCCACCTCCACCCTTCCTTCAGAGTGCAGGCACTGTATGTCTCAGTGACCTCCACCCCTCCTTCAGAGTGCAGGCACTGTACTTCCCACCTCCACTCCTTCAGAATGCAGGCACTGTACTTCCCACCTCCACCCCTCCTTCAGAGTGCAGGAACTGTACCTCCCACCTCCACCCCTCCTTCAGAGTGCAGGCACTGTACTTACCACCACCTCCACCATTTCTTCAGAGTGCAGGCACTGTACTTCCCACCTCTACCCCTCCTTCAGAGTGCATAAGAACATAAGAAAGGAGGAACACTGCGGGAGGCCTGTTGGCCCATACTAGGCAGGTCCTTTACAATTCATCCCACAAATAAAACATTTGCCCAACCCAATTTTCAATGCCACCCAAGAAATAAGCTCTGATGTGAAAGTCCCACTCAAATCCAACCCCTCCCACTCATGTACTTATCCAACCTAAATTTGAAACTACCCAAAGTCCCAGCCTCAACAACCCAACTAGGTAGACTGTTCCACTCATCAACTACCCTATTTCCAAACCAATACTTTCCTATGTCCTTTCTAAATCTAAACTTATCTAATTTAAATCCATTACTGCGGGTTCTCTCTTAGAGAAACATCCTCAAGACCTTATTAATATCCCCTTTATTAATACCTATCTTCCACTTATACACTTCGATCAGGTCTTCCCTCATTCTTCGTCTAACAAGTGAATGTAACTTAAGAGTCTTCAATCTTTCTTCATAAGGAAGATTTCTAATGCTATGTATTAATTTAGTCATCCTACGCTGAATGTTTTCTAACGAATTTATGTCCATTCTGTAATATGGAGACCAGAACTGAGCTGCATAATCTAGGTGAGGCCTTACTAATGATGTATAAAGCTGCAGTATGACCTCTGGACTTCTGTTGCTTACACTTCTTGATATAAATCCCAGTAATCTATTTGCCTTATTACGTACGCTTAGGCATTGCTGTCTTGGGTTAAAGTTGCTGCTCACCATAACCCCCAAGTCCTTTTTGCAATCTGTATGGCTAAGTTCTACATCATTTAACTTATAAGTACTAGGGTTATGGGCACTCCCAAGCTTCAGAACCTTGCATTTATCTACATTGAACTGCATCTGCCACTTGTCTGACCAAGAACAGAGTTTGTTTAAATCCTCCTGAAGTTCCATAACATCTACGTTTGAATCAATTATCCTACCTATCTTTGTGTCATCGGTGAATTTGCTCATATCACTAGTAATTCCCTCATCAAGATCATTGATATATATTATAAACAACAACGGGCCCAAGACTGATCCCTGTGGAACGCCACTTGTTACAGATCCCCACTCGGATTTAACCCCATTTATGGACACTCTCTGCTTCCTGTCAGTGAGCCATGACTTGATCCACGAGAGCACTTTTCCCCCAATGCCATGAGCTGCCACTTTCTTTAACAGTCTATGGTGCGGAACTCTTATCAAAAGCCTTACTAAAATCTAAGTAAATAATATCAAATTCTTTATCGTGGTCAACAGCCTCAAAAGCTTTACTGAAGAAAGTTAATAAATTAGTTAGACAAGACCGGCCTCTTGTGAATCCATGCTGAGTATCATTAATCAAGCTATGCTTATCGAGATGGCTTCTTATAATCTCAGCTATAATTGACTCTAGTAATCTGCCTACAATTGAGGTCAGGCTTATTGGGTGGTAATTTGACGGTAACGACTTGTCCCCTGTTTTAAAAATGGGAATTACATTAGCCATCTTCCACATATCAGACACTACACCTGTTTGAAGAGATAAATTAAAAATATTAGTTAATGGTTCACAGAGTTCCATTTTGCATTCCTTAAGAACCCTTGAAAAAACCTCATCAGGACCCGGCGACTTATTTTGCTTCAGTCTGTCTATCTGCTTCACAACCATTTCACTAGTGACTGTGATGTTACATAATTTATCTTCTTCTAGCCCACTATAAAAATTAATTACTGGAATATTGTTAGTGTCTTCCTGTGTAAAAACTGAGAGAAAATAATTATTAAAAATCGAGCACATTTCATTCTCTTTGTCAGTAAGGTGCCCATAGTTATTTTTAAGGGGACCTATCTTATCTCTAACTTTTGTTCTATAGACCTGGAAAAAACTTTTTGGGTTAGTTTTAGAATCCCTAGCAACTTTAATTTCATAGTCCCTTTTAGCTTTTCTTATCCCCATTTTTAATGTCCCTCTTAATGTCAATATACTGATTCATAAGATGACCCTCACCTCTTTTGATACACCTATAAATTCCTTTCTTATGCCCTAGTAGATATTTGAGCTTATTATTCATCCATTTTGGGTCATTTCTATTTGATCTAATTTCTTTATATGGGATAAACGTTCTTTGAGCAGCATGTATAGTGTTCAGAAAACTGTCATATTGATATCTCACTTCGTTACCCCAGTCAACAGATGATAAGTGTTCTCTAAGCCCATCGTAATCTGCTAAGAGAAAATCTGGGACTGTTACTGAGTTATCGCTACTATCGTACTTCCATTCAATGCTAAATGTACGTAATTGATTTGTGGTCGCTAGCACCCAGTTCCTCTGAAATTTCTAAATTATTAACAAGGGATTCATTGTTTGCCATAACTAAGTCAAGCAGGTTATTTCCCCTTGTAGGTTCTGTCACAAACTGCTTCAAAAAACAATCCTGAACTACTTCTAAGAAGTCGTATGATTCTAAATTCCCAGTCAAGAAATTCCAATCAATATGACTAAAGTTAAAGTCTCCTAGAATTACTACATCATCGTGCCTTGTGGCCTTAACAATTTCCTCCCATAGTAGTCTCCCTTGGTCCCTATCTAAGTTTGGGGGATGGTATATCACTCCTAAAATCAGTTTTTCATGCCCCTCTGAAAATTCTATCCGAACAGACTCTGTATGTGTTACTTCAGACTTAATACCCATTTTTATGCAACAGTTCAAGCGATCTCGGACATACAATGCCACCCCACCCCCCTTCCCGATACTTCTATCTACTTGGAACAATTTAAAACCCTGAATATGACATTCCGCAGGCATGTCCCGACTTTTTGAATTAAACCACGTCTCAGTTAAGGCAAATACATCAATGTTACCTGCACTAGCAACTAATCTCAACTCAGTGCAGGCACTGTACTTCCCACCTCTACCCCTCCTTCAGAGTGCATGCATTGTACTTTCCACCTCCACTCCACCTTCAGAGTGCAGGCACTGTACGTCCCACCTCAACCCCTCCAGAGTGCAGGCACTGTACTTCCCACCTCCACCCCTCCTTCAGTGCAGGTACTGTACTTCCAACCACCACCCCTTCAGAGTGCAGGCACTGTACTTCCCACCTCCACCCCTCCAGAGTGCAGGCACTGTACTTCCTACCACCGCCCCTCCTTCAGAATGGAAGCACTGTACTTACCACCTCCACCCCTTCTTCAGAGTGCAGGCACTTTACTTCCCACCTCTACCCCTCCTTCAGAGTGCAGGCACTGTACTTCCCACCTCTACCCCTCCTTCAGAGTGCAGGCACTGTACTTCCCACCTCTACCCCTCCTTCAGAGTGCAGGCACTGTACTTCCCACCTCTACCCCTCCTTCAGAGTGCAGGCACTGTACTTCCCACCTCTACCCCTCCTTCAGAGTGCAGGCACTGCTCTTCCCGCCACCACCCCTCCTGCAGTGCAGGCACTGTACTTCCCGCCACCACCCCTCCTTAACAGTGCTGGCACTGTACTTCCCACCTCCACCCCTCCTTGAGAGTGCAGGCACTGTGTTTCCCACCTCCACCCCTCCTTAAGAGTGCAGGCACTGTACTTCCCACCTCCACCCCTCCAGAGTGCAGGCACTGTACTTTCTACCACCACCCGTCTTTCAGAGTGCAGGCACTACTTACCACCACCCCCACACTTCCTTCAGAGTGCAGGCACTGTACTTCCCACCTCCAAGACTAGTTCCTTGAATCACTTGATAAACCATATAATGGAGCAAATGTGTTATAAGAAGAGTAACTTTGCCTCCACTGGAATGTGGTCATTGTGAGTAGTTTCCAGTATACATGTATGTATATTATTTTATTAACATTTACGAAGGGATTCAGGGAAACTGGTTAGCCAAATTTGAGTCCTACAGGTGGAAAGTCCAGTGCCTGGGCTGTGAGGGAGGGGTGGTGGCGGGAAGAGCAGTGCCTGGGCTGTGAAGGAGGGGTGGTGGTGGGAAGAGCAGTGCCTGGGCTGTGAAGGAGGGGTGGTGGTGGGAAGAGCAGTGCTTGGGCTGTGAAGGAGGGGTGGTGGTGGGAAGAGCAGTGCCTGGGCTGTGAGGGAGGGGTGGTGGTGAGAAGAGCAGTGCCTGGGCTGTGAAGGAGGGGTGGTGGTGGGAAGAGCAGTGCCTGGGCTGTGAAGGAGGGGTGGTGGTGGGAAGAGCAGTGCCTGGCTGTGAGGGAGGGGTGGTGGTGAGAAGAGCAGTGCCTGGGCTGTGAAGGAAGGGTGGTGGTGGGAAGAGCAGTGCCTGGGCTGTGAAGGAGGGGTGGTGGTAGGAAGAGCAGTGCCTGGGCTGTGAAGGAGGGGTGGTGGCGGGAAGAGCAGTGCCTGGGCTGTGAAGGAGGGGCGGTGGTGGGAAGAGCAGTGCCTGGGCTGTGAAGGAGGGGTGGTGGCGGGAAGAGCAGTGCCTGGGCTGTGAAGGAGGGGTGGTGGCAGGAAGAGCAGTGCCTGGGCTGTGAAGGAGGGGCGGTGGTGGGAAGAGCAGTCCTGGGCTGTGAAGGAGGGGTGGTGGCAGGAAGAGCAGTGCCTGGGCTGTGAAGGAGGGGCAGTGGTGGGAAGAGCAGTCCTGGGCTGTGAAGGAGGGGGTTGATATTTGCAGTGTTTAACCATAGTGTAGGCACACCTCTGGCAAGACTGTTATGGACTAAATGATAAATGAAAGTTTCTTCTTTTACGTGTCCTCCCCCTCACACACGTGTCCTCCCCCTCACACACATGTCCTCCCCCTCACACACACAATGCTTGAAATGCTGAGCATATCTTGAAGTCTCTTCTTACTTACAATACTCATCCGTGGCTTCCCTTTGCTGTAAGCAATGTTCCTCAAATGCTTGATAAATTCTCCGATGTTGTCACAGGATGCATACGATGAGTAATTGTTAATACTTGATGGAACAGTGCCTGCAAACATATATTACTGTCCTTAATTAACCCTCTGACTGTCGCAAACCTGTTTCTGAAACTGTTATTCTATGTCGCAAAATTTTTGTTAAAAACAAATCATTTTTTCTTATGAAATGATAGAGAATCTTTTCCTGATGGTAATGACACGAAAAGTACGAAATTTGGTCAAAAACTCACGGAATTACGCTCCTGCGAAGTTAGCGGTCTCAGCGACATATACGCATCAGCGATTTCGCCGAATTTGAGCCTTGTTTTTGGCCAATTCTGTTGTTTCATTTGACCAAACTCATAGCTATTTCTTTAGAACTCCATTTTTCTATCAGTTGAGTACAAGAAACTGCCCATTTACCAATTTCAACTACCCAATAAAGTGGTCAGAAATTGGCAATTTGGCCAGTTTCACGCAAATTAAAAAAGATGCCAATTTCAAAATAGGGTCCAGAATAAACAATGTAGACATTTTTGGCACTAAAATAACATCCTCTGTTCATTAGTCACATCTCTAGGCCCCTCTTATATTACTATTGCTTTCTATTTTTATTTTTTATTCATACAAAAAATACAAAATTTACTGTTATGTAGACTACTGCATTATTGTAAAAATTGTATAAATAATACCAGTGCACTAGTGAAAGGATATTAGACTCCCCAGTTGACGTGTATTGGACGTGTGGTGTGATTTGCTTACTCTTGAACATTGGTAAAAATCGAACATTTCCGTTACTTGGAGCTCAATTTCATGGTCATTTTTATCATGAAACTAATCAAAATCATCTCTATTTCTATAATATGCTTTCCATTTTATCACACGAGACCATGAAAACAAGAATACAATGATAAATACTATATGAAAATACACCTCAAATTCGGTGTTTTAATCCAAAAAAAACGGTCAGTTTTTTTCTCATTATGCACTGCGTGCTGCAGAATTTTTTTATGTGGTGCACACTGACCACACAGACCCATTCTCTCACATGTAGGCCTACCAGCTTTCTCCCACTTGATTTGAAGCCGCTAGAATTTACGCATATAAATACGTCCAAAACAGTGGCACGCAAGACATATATATATGTGACCAAAACAGTCAAAGGGTTAACATTTAACTATCCAAACATAGATCTACATTCTTACTGCTAGCACTCCAAATGTAAATCAAAGTTTTATTTTACCTGCCTTCAAATTTGGCACTAGAGGTCTGATAGGCCTAGGCAGAATAGCCTAACGCGACGGGCTGGAGTTTCGAGACTCTATGACCGCGGGTTCAATCCCGGCCGGGGGTATGGTTAGAATAGCCTAAGTCTTAACACTCAGTGTGCGCTGTATTAAAAAAATCTCAGACCACTTACTACCTTGTGGGAGCACCAGTTCAACTGAGCACCACCCAGAGCAAACAGCATGGCAAACACCAGGGATTCTCTGATGCCACGTCATATTACACCCCTTTTAACCCTTAAACTGTTCAAACATAGATCTACGTTCACCTGCATGGCTCTCCGAATATTTTGAAAAATAAAAAAAAAAATTGTTTTTTTTTTTAAATTAAAGAGGGGTATTTTCTGTGTGTATAAGACCAAAAAAAAATTTTAGGACCAGTACTTACCGAGATATAAGACCATGAAGTTGGCTCTGGATGCTCACCTGACGGCAGCATCCAGTCCTGCCGCTTGCAGAAGGGTTGCCGATTTGCCTTTTTTTCTTGTTTTTATTTTAATTTATATAATTTTTATGTTCTGATATTTACAATTTATAATAGTTCTTGTGATTTCATAGCCAATCTTTGGTCTGACACTAATATTATGTACTGAAATAGTACTCAAATTGTAACAATCACACTGACAGGCGAACATTTTCACCTGCCCTGGTCATTTACTATTGTCTAGAAATATATACAAAGTATTTATAGGTCCCAGCAATGTTTTAGACAAGCTGGAGTATGAACCTCCTTGAAGCATGGTGTTATGACATGGGTCAGAATGTGCCCTGTTGGAGGGGGTCACCTTGCCTTTATATGTTTTTACTCTTGCACACAAACATGTCTTTGTATGTCTGTCTGTCAGTCTATCTGTTTGCCTGACTATCTGTCTGCTTGTCTATCTGTACATCTATCTATCTGTACATCTGTCTATCTGTACGTCTATCTGTACATCTATCTGCATCTGCCTATCTGTCTATCTATCTGTCTCTCCACATACTTCTGCTCATCTGTCTGTCCATTTCAGCTTATCTGTTTTTCTGTCTCCTGTGTGTACCTGGAGTGTAATATGAGCTCCTTGAATACTTGTGTTATGACAGCGTCAGATAACAGCGACATTTGATGAATGTGCGATGCTGGAGGGGGGAACCTTGCCTTTATATGTTTTTACTCTTGCACACAAACATGTCTCTTTATGTCTGTCTGTCAGTCTATCTGTGCATCTATCTGTCTGTCTATCTGTACATCTATCTGTCTGTCTATCTGTACATCTATCTGTCTGTCTAGTTCTGCTTATCTGTCTCTGTCTGTCTGTGTCTGTCTTTCCATCTGCTTGTCTGTGTCTCAGGGAGAGGCTAGTAAACCTGTTGGTTTGTGGTGTATAGGCCACTCCCTGATTGCTGAGTGATACTGCTATTATTTGTGTTATGTTTATTAATATCTTACATCTACAAACACTGTATAGCACTTGGCCTGGAATTTTTGGGTTATCCTAGGTAATTTACATTATGTATAATAACTGTATTTATGAGTACATGTGAGAGACAGAGATACAAATAGACAGTGATATAGACAGAGATATAGACAGAGACAGCCAGAGACAGCCAGCCGAATACATAAGAACATAAGAAAGAAGGAACACTGCAGCAGGCCTACTGGCCCATGCAAAGCAGGTTCATGTCACCCCCCGGCTTAGACCAATGACCCACCTAGTCAGGTCACATCCACTGACAGAAGGAGCATGACATCTGACCTAGTAGCACAAGCTAGTCAGGTCCAACTCACACCCACTCATCCATTTATCTATCCCATTTTTACTTTCCTCTTAAAATGTGAGTGTTAATATGACATGACACCAGTGAATCCTTAGTGTTTGCCACACTACTTGCTCTAGCTGGTGCTCAGTTGAACTGCTGCTCCCATAAGGTACTAAGTGCTCCCAGATTTTTTTTCATAGTACGCACACTGAGTGCATAGACCCATTCTTTCATGTCTAGGCAACTCAGGCCTATCGCACCAAATTGAAGGAATGAAAAATAAAACACTGATCTACAATCAGAGCCTGCCACACGTGAACGTATATCTACGTGTGGACAGTTTAAGGGTTAAGAGGAAAGTGATGGTGACCCAGAGTTCAGTGGCTGTGAGGTAGATCTGGCCACAAGTGGTTGAGGAAATATCAAAAACCTCAATAATAACCCATACCCATGTGCAACATTTGTGCCACATCCTTTCAATTTTGATACCACTGGTAGTGTCATCCTGCCAGAATTTGCTATAGCCTATGCCCAAAGTAAAGAGAAATGATCCTGTAACATGTGTAATACATGTTCAGCTGCCTGGCCTGCCTGCCTGCCTGCCTGCCTGCCTGCCTGCCTGCCTTCCTCTCTCTCCCCTTCCTTTTTTTATTGTTATGCGACATACAAGTAGGGAATTGGACGAAGTTGGAACCATCCATGGGCCAGCAATTTTATTTGATCAACTGACTTTTATTTTGTTGATATCATTATGCTGTGAGCGTACTTGTGCGTCATACAGAATCTTGTAACCTCTGCTGTTGAGCAGATGCAAGATTCGTCGAAGTGCTGTAAGTTTCCTGGCCGCTTTCTTTGCAAAATTTACGTGGTTCTTCATGGTCAGTTTGGAGTCGAATTTCACCCCAAGAACATCAATTTCATCCAAAGGTACCAACACTCTCCCATTCATACTTACTGATGCTCCAGCATTACCATCATGATGCCTAGAGACCATCATCATTTGTTTTTTCTCAGGAGCAAGTGTTACCTGCAACCGTTTTCCCCAAGGTGATATAGCTCTTAACTGGTGATTGACGTAGCTTAGAGCAACTGGCATTTCCTCTCTTGGATAAGTAAATGTCAGAGTACAGTCATCTGCATATGCATGGGATTCTGAGATGAGATGAAAGTCACTGAAGTAGACATTCCATAACAATGGCCCAAGCACACTTCCCTGTGGAACACTTGCCCCAGTAGATCTTGCTCTGACTGTTCCTTAGAGATCTATCTTGAAGGTAATCACTGAGGAGACAGTATATAACTGCAATTCCCAGTGCTTGCAGTTTTGCCAAGAGTCTCTGGTGCCATATTGTCAAAAGCACAAGCAATGTCCAGTGCAATCACACAGCTGACTTTGGATTCATCCAGTGACTGGTGCCACTTAGCAGAGAGGTTTAACAACAGATCACCAGCAAAGTAACCTTTCCTGAAGCTGTATTGACTGTCATAAAGTAATGAGTGGTAGTCAGAAAACTAGCATTTGCCGTGAGATTATTGCTCTCTCACTCTCTCACCTCCCCCCCCCCCTTTATGCAGGGTTTGACAAGGTTAGGTTAAGGATTCCTAACTTCATTGACAAGCTATTGATGAGTTAAGGATTCTTAACTTTATTGACAAGCTAAGAGCTGTTACCTATATCAGCTCATTTAAAAGCCCTTTTTAATTGTTATGAGACATACAAGCAGGGAACAGGATGAAGTTGGAGCCATCTGTGGGCCAGCATTTTCATTTGATCAACTATCTCGTTGATATCATTATGCTGTACGAAAGTGTTCCAGACTCGAGTCATCCTGGGGATAAGTGATCTCAGATGAAGAGATGTTCTGGAGAATGGTACAGCCAGAGTGAAATTGCTGCTTTCTGCCTGCTGTGGTACAGAAGCTTGCTTCTGCTGTCCTCGAAGAGGAGCCAAGTGTGGTACTTTGACAATGTTGGCCTTATACATAACAGTAAGGCCACCCACATCCCTTCTGTGTTGAAGGTTCTGCTGAAATGACAGATCTATCCAGGATGGGTCCAAGCAAGAGATGAGGCATCTTGCTCTGTTCTCTACTCTGTCATGCAGTCACAGATGAGATGGGGGCAGGCAAACCAAGAAAGAGGAGCATACTCAAGGTGTGAGAGTGCTTGTGCCTCATACAGAATCTTGCAACCCCTACTGTTGAGCAAATGCAAGATACATCGAAGTGCTGTAAGCTTCATGGCTGCCTTGTTTGCAAGATTTACAATGTGGTTCTTCATAGTCAGTTTGGAGTCAAGTTTCACCCCAAGGATATCAACTTCTTCCCCAGGTACCAACACTCTCCCATTCATATTTACTACTGCTCCGGCATTACCATCATGGTGTCTAGAGACCATTATCATTTATGTTTTCTCAGGTGCAAATGTTACCTGCCATTGGTTACCCCAGGCTGATATAGCTCTTAGCTGGTGATTGATGTAGCTTACAGCAGCTCGCATTTCTTCTCTCGGATAAGTAAATGTCAGAGTACAGTCGTCTGCATATGCATGGGATTCTATGGGATGAAATTTGTAAGGCATCTACATATGAAAATGTTGTACTAATGGGAGATGTTAACTTCAGACAAATTGACTGGAGCAATTTGACAGGAAATTTGAAGCCAAGAGACTTTCTTCATACGATTCAAGATTGTTTTTTAAAACAGTTTGTAGTCACATTTGATAGAATGGAAAACATGTTATAGAAATATGTGATTTTGATGGGTTTTACTATGAAAAGGACCTTGAAATGGAGCTCAAAGTATGGGAAATGTTTGATTTTTGCCGATGTTCAAGAGTAAACAAATGATGTCATTTTCCAATAAATGTCCAACTAGCCATTCTAATATGCAGTGATGAATGGGTTGATGTTATTTATACAATTATTACAATATTACATAACAGTAAATCTTCTATTTTTTGTTTGAATAAAAATTCAAAATAGAAAGCAAGAGTAATATCACAGGGGCCTGGAGACATGACTGATGAACACAGAAAATGTTATTTTAGAGCCAGGAATGTCTGCATTGTTCATTCTGGACCCTATTTTGAAATTGGCATATTTCTTAATTTGCTTGAAATTGGCCAAATTGCCAATTTCTAACAACTTTACTGGGTAGTTGAAATCAGTAAACGGGCAGTTTCTTGTACTCAATCGATAGAATGAATGGAGTTCTAAAGAAATAGCTATGAGTTTGGTTGACTGGAACAATGAAATTAGCCGAAAACAGGGCTCAAAGTTGGCGAAATCACCTATTCGTAAATATCGCCAAGGTTGCTAACTTCGCGAGAGCGTAATTCCGTAAGTTTTCCATCAAATTTCGTACTTTTGGTTTCATTACCATCGGGAAAAGATTCTCTATCATTTCATGAATTTTTTTTTTTTTCAAATATTTTGCGACACCAGGAGACACCTCAGTATTTGGGGTTGTGACAGTCAAAGGGTTAACAAGGAATATTCTCAAAATTAAGAGAAAATACATTGTGCTTTCACATTAAGACAAACTGATACATAACACTGATAAAAAAAATGTTTAATTTATTCCTTAAATACCTGTTATTAAAGTAGAGATGAGTGTAACAATACCTGGGTAGGTACAATACAGTGTAACAATACCTGGGTAGGTACAATACAGTGTAACAATACCTGGGTAGGTACAATACAGTGTAACAATACCTGGGTAGGTACAATACAGTGTAACAATACCTGGGTAGGTACAATACAGTCTTGAAAAATATAATAATTAGAGAAAACTTATATTTCAGAGAAACAAAATTTTTGCAAAAGACAAGATATTAATACATGATAAACCAAAAATTTAATCTGAAGGAATAGCTAGAAATACAGTAAATGAAAATGTATGAGGGTAGACTGACTTTCATGTATAATAGTGGTATAAAACAAAGAAATTAGCTAAAGCTAGTGTTAAGTGGAAGTAGGGAGAAGCCAGAGCGCTCAGGGGTAGGAACTAGACAATAACATACCACTAAGATGATTAAGTATGGTCTCGTACATGACTCTGGTAGTGTAGAACTCAACACAGCTAACATAACTGGTGAGGATGCCCAGCTTCTCCAGCACAGCACTTGTAACTAAGGTTTTACCAGTCCCACTATGGCCATATAAAAATATGCTATTTGGCAAAGGACACTCATCCTGGAAAGAAAGTGTCTGGTTACTACTACTATTATTGTATGTACAAAAAGCACTAAACAAGTAAGGATTATATAGTGTAAATCATTAAGACATTGTACAATAACCTAAATCCCATGATTTGCAGTTACTCTTATGGCTTGTAAGAAATGTTTATTATATTATTTAAAATGTTTAAAGAATATGGGTCACCTTGTTTCCATCAAGGACTCTGCTGAGCTCTTGTAAATCTCAATAGGTTTTGAATGTTATTCTTGCAAGCAAGAATAGCAAGCAATAACTCCAGCTCACATTCCCAGTGTGTCCTTCCTCTCTCCAATCTTTGCCCCCCCCCCTTACCAAGTTCATCTTTTTACGTGGCTACAAAATTAAAAATGTATCGTGCGATATACAGTACTGCTTGTGTTAGAGTGAAAGCATAAGTTGGAAGGTTGTGAATGAGAGTGAGAACAAATAATTAGCATGGGAGCAAGTCAGATAGGCACGGGGCACCAATGGTGCCCCGTGGCCTGGTGGCTAAAGCTTTCATTTCACGCGGTGAGGTCCCGGGTTCAATTCCTGGCGAGGGTAGAAATATTGGGCGTGTTTCTTTACACCGGTTGTCTATGTTCCCCATCAGTAAAATAGGTACCTAGGTGTTAGTCGACTGTTGTTGGTCACATCCTGGGACAAAACTGACCTAATTTGCCTGATATGCTCTGCATAACAAGTGGCTTTCTATATAGTAGTATGTCACTGATGTCAGCTAGGCCTGTATACCTTGTACATGTACTTGTAGAAATAAACATATTATATTATTATTATATTTAACCCGTAAACGGTCCAAACGTATATATACGTTTTTACCGCTAGTGCCCCAAACGTATATATACGCTTTTACCGCTAGTGCCCCAAACGTATATATACGTTTTATTTTTCCTGCCTTCAAATTTGGCACGATTGGCCTGAGATGCCTTGTCAGCATAGAATGGGTCCTAACACTCAGTGTGTGAGGTATTAAAAAAATCTGGGGCCACTTAGTACCTTGTGGGAGCACCAGTTCAAATGAGCACCAGCTAGAGCAACAGCGCAGCATACCACCTGGGGTTAGCAAACTAGGCGTACTCTACTCTGCTAGATAGTCTCTTGTACTATGGCTTCAGTTAGTATTCAACTACCAATGAAACATCAGGCTTCGGCTGTTGACAGCGACTCAGGGCCTCGCAGATCTACGACTGACTGACTGCTCCACTGGAACCTTGGCTGCGTGCTGGCGGCTGCTGCACTGGCGGCTGCGCAGCTGCTGCTCGGCTGGCTGGCTGGCTGGCGCTGGCTGGCTGGGCTGGCGGGCTGCGGCTGGCTGGCTGGCTGCTGGCTGGTGCTGGCTGGCTGGCTGGCTGGCTGGCTGGCTGGCTGGCTGGCTGGCTGGCTGGCTGGCTGGCTGGCTGGCTGGCTGTGCTGGCTGGCTGCTGGCTGGCTGGCTGGCTGGCTGGCTGGCTGGCTGGCTGGCTGGCTGGCTGGCTGGCTGGCTGGCTGGCTGCTGGCTGCTGGCTGGCTGGCTGGCTGGCTGCTGCTGGCTGGCTGGCTGGCTGGCTGGCTGGCTGGCCTGGCTGGCTGGCTGGCTGGTGGCTGGCTGGCTCGGCTGGCTTGGCTGGCTGGCTGGCTGGCTGGCTGGCTGGCTGGCTGGCTTGGCTGGGCTGGCTGGCTGGCTGGCTGGCTGGCTGGCTGGCTGCTGGCTGGCTGGCGGCTGGCTGGCTGGCTGGCTGGCTGGCTGCTGGCTGGCTGGCTGGCTGGCTGGCTGGCTGCTGGCTGGCTGGCTGGCTGGCTGGCTGGCTGGCTGGCTGCGGCTGGCTGGCTGGCTGGCTGGCTGGCTTGGCTGGCTGGGCTGGCTGCTGGCTGGCTGGCTGGCTGGCTGGCTGGCTGGCTGGCTGGTGCTGGCTGGCTGGCGGCTGGCTGGCTGCGGCTGGCTGGCTGGCTGGCTGGCTGCTGGCTGGCTGGCTGCTGGCTGGCTGGCTGGCTGGCTGGCTGGCTGGCTGGTGCTGGCTGGCTGGCTGGCTGGCTGGCTGGCTGGCTGGCTGGGCTGGCTGGCTGGCTGGCTGGCTGGCTGGCGCTGGTGGCTGGCTGGCTGGCTGGCTGGCTGGCGGGGCTGGCTGGCTGGCTGGTGGCTGGCTGGCTGGCTGCTGGCTGGCTGGCTGGCTGTGGCTGGCTGGCGTGGCTGGCTGCGTGGCTGGCTGGCTGGCTGGCTGGCTGGCTGGCTGGCTGGCTGGCTGGCTGGCTGGCTGGCTGGCTGGCTGGCTGGCTGGCTGGCTGGCTGGCTGGCTGGGCTGCTGGCTGGCTGGCTGGCTGGCTGGCTGGCTGGCTGGCTGGCTGCTGGCTGGGCTGGCTGCTGGCTGGCTGGCTGGCTGGCTGCTGGCTGGCTGGCTGGCTGGCTGGCTGGCTGGCTGGCTGGCTGGCTGGCTGGCTGGCTGGCTGGCTGGCTGGCTGGCTGGCTGGCTGGCTGGCTGGCTGGCTGGCTGGCTGGCTGGCTGGCTGGCTGGCTGGCTGGCTGCTTTACTCAGCTTGAAGATGTGAGTAAAGGTGATAACGCTGCTGGAATACATGTTACACTGTACGTATATCCAGTTTTAGGAAAAACAAGTTATCTGTACAAACTTTGATATTGGAAAGTAGTACCTGTATGCACTCATCAAAAGAAGCAGAACTGCTACAGTCTAGGAGTGATGTACGTACAGCCTCTCCTCACTTAGCGACGTACTCATTTACTGACACCTCGGACTTATGACGGGCTCTCTGACCGATATTCATACCTAAATAATGTATATTAGAGCTGATTTCCTCTATTCTGTTTATTTCAATTTACAGTATGCAACAGTACAGTGGACCCCCGCCTTACGATATTAATCCGTTCCTGAGACCTCATCGTATGCCGAAATTATCGTAAGGTGAAATAATTTTCCCCATAAAAAATAATGGAAATCAAATTAATCCGTGCAAGACACTCAAAAGTAAGAAAAAAAAAATTTTTTACCACATGAAATATTAATTTTAATACACACAAACTGAAGAAGACATGCACAGTTAATACTCTACTAAGAATAGAATACATGACACTTACCTTTATTGAAGATCTGGTGATGATTGATGGGATGGGAGGAGGGGAGGATGGGAGGAGGGGAGTGTGTGGAAGTTATTGTTTAGAAGGGGAATCCCCTTCCATTAGAACTTGAGGTATCAAGTCCTTTTCTGGGGTTATTTCCTTTCTTCTTTTAATGCCACCAGGACCAGCTTGAGAGTCACTGGACCTCTGTCACACAGCATATCTGTCCATAGAGCTCTGTACCTCTCATTCCTTTATGATTTGTCTAAAGTGGTTCACAACATTGTCATTGTAATAGTCACCAGCATGGCTTGCAATAGCTGTGTGAGGGTGATTTTCATCCATAAAGGTTTGCACTTCAAGCCACTTTGCACACATTTCCTTAATCTCTTTTTTCAATTCCATACTAATTCTCACCCTTTTTACCACAGGGATGGCACTAGAAGCTTTCTTTGGGTCTATGGTGACTTATTTTGCAGTTACAAGCACTAAAAACACTGGGATAATGTGAAATGTACCGAATGTATGCGTAGATGAGACCGCACTGGCTGGCTTGTAAACACGGGCGCTGAGGCCACATGTGGGACACATCCTGGACGAATCACGTAAGGCGAGTTTTTTAGCATGAGGCGAGGCAAAATTTTTGCTTTAAAATGTATCGTATGGCGGATTTAACGTAACATGATGCCATCGTATGGTGGGGGTCCACTGTATAAACCTTTATAAATATACCAGAAATGTTATAAGTAGTGCAAAGGTGACATTAAAACAATATCAAAGATGGACGACACAAACTCACTACCATTATGCTATGCTCCTCACTTAGCAACAAAATCGTTTAATGCCTTGGTCTTAGGAACAGAACTCCGTCGTTAAGTGAGGAGACGCTGTATTTTTTTTTATGGGTGGGGTGGGGGTGGGGGTTACCATGTGTTAGTAGAAAACGTCTGAGGGATTAAAAAATTAAAGGAAATTTAAAGAAATAATTCTGAATCACCATGGCAGTGACCTCCGTCAAAGACACTGCAAGACTCCAAGCGGACATCAACCAAATTTTCGAATGGGCCACTCAAAACAATATGAAGTTCAACGAGGAGAAATTTCAACTACTCAGGTATGGAAAACTTGAAGAAATTAAAAATGTGTCAGGGTATACCACAAATTCGAACCATACGATAGAGCGGAAAAGTAACGTGAAGGACCCGGGAGTGATAATGTCAGAGGATCTCGCCTTCAAAGACCACAACAATGTATCTACTTCATCCACTAGGAAAATGATAGGATGGATAATGAGAACCTTCAAAACTAGGGACGCCAAGTCCATGATGATTCTCTTCAAATCGCTTGTGCTCTCTAGGTTGGAATACTGCTGTACACTAACGGCCCCCTTCAAGGCTGGCGACATTGCAGACCTGGAGTGTACAAAGAACTTTCATGGCACACATAAGTGCGATAAGGCACCTAAACTACTGGGAATGGTTGAAGGTCCTTGATTCGTATTCCCTCGAACGCAGGCGAAAGAGATACCTGATAATATACACTTGGAAGGTCCTGGAGGGACTGGTACCAAACCTGCACACGAAAATCACTCCATATGAAAGCAAAAGACTTGGCAGGAGATGCAACATTTCCCTGATGAAAAGCAGGGGTGCCACGAGTACACTGAGAGATAACACAATAAGTGTCCGGGGGCCCAAGACTGTTCAACTCCCTCCCCGCATACATAAGGGGATTACCAATAGACCCCTGGCTGTCTTCAAGAAGGCATTGGACAGGCACCCAAAGTCAGTACCTGACCAACCGGGCTGTGGTTCATACGTCAGCCTGTGTGCGGCCAGCAGTAACAGCCTGGTTGATCAGACCCTGATCCACCATGAGGCCTGGTCTCAGACCGGGCTGCGGGGGCATTGACCCCCAAAACCTTCTCCCGGTAAACTCCAGGTAAAGCTCCTTCATTAGCACTAGAAAATATTTGTTATAGTATTTGTAAAAGAGTGTACACCATAGTGCTGTAAGGAAAACTGATAGGCAGAATCTTTTTTCTTTAGCTGTTCAGTTAATGTAAAACTGGATAATATGGTACTATGCAATATTTAGTGTTATATTTTGTAGCATGGTAGAACACATGACACTTACCTCCCCAAGAAGACTAGCCAAAAGGTGAATCTGTGCTTTTCGGCAAGGTATGTTCTCCACCAAGTCACTCACTATCTTGTCCATCTATAATTACTGTTGCCACTGTAAGCAAAATGTCAAAAAAGAAGTTATTTTCTTTGCATTAAATGCAGGAAATAAGTCTAAAATTCCAACAGTTTGGTCAGAGATGGGAGGCTAAGCTTGTCTCGAGTGAAAAGTAAGGTGAACTACAGTGGAACCTCGGTTTCCGTGATTAATTCGTTTGAAAAAGTCTGACGAAAACTGAATCGTATGAACAATACAGCAATACGTATTTCCCATAAGAAATAATGTAAATCCAATTAATCCATTCCAGACACCCAAAAATATTAACAAAAAAGACATTTTATGGAGAATAACATAGTTTTACATACAGAAAACAATGAGAAATAAATATAAATGACTAATGAAACGGATAAATGAACATTTAACCTTTATTGAAGACTCCAGTTGGTGTATGGAAGACAGCAAGGAGGGGAGAGGGAGGAGGAGAAGTTATTGTTTGGAAGGGAAATCCCCATCCATAATGAATTCAGGTATCAAGGCCCTATCTGGGGTTACTTCCCTTCTTTGCCTTTTGCTGGCACCTGGACCAGCTTTTTTGTGCACAAAAAATTTGTCCAGAGGTCTGTTTCTGGCGCCACTTTAAGATTTGCCTAAAATGGGACAAGGCATTGAACATGTTGCAGACACAGCTTGCATCAGATTTGTTAGGGTGATATTTCTCCACAAAACTTTGCAACTCATTCCACTTTGCACACATGTCCTTAATCACTCTTCCTCCTCCTCTGAATCAATTTCCTCAGCTGTGGTCTGTTGCTGTTCCAGCTGAAGGTCTTGCAGCTCTTCAGTGGTTAGCTCTTCCCTGTGGTCATCCACCAACTCTTCCACATCCTGGCCACTCACATCCAACCCCATGGACTTCCCCAAAGACACAATAGATTCCACAACAGGCACAGGGTTGTCAGGGTCAGCTTCAAACCCTTCAAAATCCTCTTGAGGACACATTCTGGCCACAGTTTTCTCCAAGCAGAGTTCATCATCCTGGAAGTCACTCCCTGCCAAGCCTTATTTATAAGGCTTATGTAATTGACGATATTGAAGTGATTCCTCCAGAACTCTCTTAGGGTCAATTCAGTGTCCAAGGTCACTTCAAAGCACCTCTGAAACAGTGCTTTGGTGTAGAGATTTTTGAAGTTTGAAATGACCTGTGGGTTCATAGGTTGGATGAGAGGAGTGGTATTAGGGGGCAAGAACTCTTCTAACAATTGATCTTCCAAGCCTGGAGGATAAGCAGGAGCACTGTCCATTACCAGGAGGCACTTGAGTGGCAACTGATTTTCCAAGAGGTATTTCTTCACACTTAGGCCAAACACTTCATTGACCTACTCAATGAAAATTTGCCTCGTGACCCATGCTTCCACATCACACACAATTTACTCTTGATGACATTGTTTTTCGTGAACACTCGGGGATTTGCAGTGTGATATACCAGTAAAGGCTTCTCTTTGAAATCCCCACTAGCATTACCACAGAACAAAAGAGTTAGCCTATCCTTCATAGGCTTGTGTGTAGCAGTGCCTTTTCCTCCTGCGTGATGTAGGTCCTCTTTGGCATTTTCTTCCAAATGAGGCTTGTTTCATCACAATTCAAGAGATGTTGGGGGAGGAATCCTTCAGCCTCTACGTATTCCTTGAATTCATCAACGAATTCTTCGGCCTCATGTTTGTTCGAACTTGCAGCCTCACCATGCCTTACCACACTGTGTATGCCAGCTTGCTTCTTGAATTTGTTGAACCAGCCTCTGCTGGCCTTAAATTCACCAACAACAGCACTCTCATACTTTACTATGAGTTCTTTCTTCAATTCTATCGTGTTTCTCACCTTCTTTATCAAAGGGCTGGCACTCGGAACTTTCTTTGGCCCCATGGTGGCTTATTTAGCGGTCACACTCAATAAACAAGCCCGAAAAACAATGGATTATTACAAAATTTTTCAGATGAACTCGTGGGGTGATGTTCACTCAACGAGAAACAAAGGCAGACTAAGTCACGAATGCATGGGATGCTTTGTGTGGGCGCTTGATTCCGGGAAATGAGTGACTGAGTCATGTGAGCAGGCGGACAAGTTTGGTACAGACCATTTTCAACTGTACGAAAACCAAGCAGACGTATGGAAACTGGGACAAAATTTCAACGAAAAAAGCCGTCAAAAACCAAATCGTACAAAAACTAGGGCATACAAAAACCGAGGTTTGACTGTATTATACAACAGAAATCAAGAATTAAAGAATTACATGAGTAGCCTAAAATACTTAACAATGAAACCACTCAATTATGAATTGTAATAACTAGCTTTCAAAAGTGAAATAGACGACAATAAGATGATGAATGAATTTTAATTTTCAGATTTCTTTACCAAATTTGGACACAAAAATATCTAAATAATTACTCATTGACTTAAACCAGCTTTATGAAGTCTGCTGTGAGAGGTTAAATCATGTTATGTTGACTATCACAGTGTCACTGTACAATGTTCTCAATCTCTGAGTGCATGGCAGATAAACGAGACATTGCAGAACATTGCACACCACTGGCAACCCTCCACCCCCCTCCCCCTTTTTTTAAATGCAATACACACCAGTTTATTTTCAAGCTACAAGTGAAACTGTCAGATATATATTGATATATTCACAAGAAAACGCTAAACATAAATGTATCACTCAATGTTAAGACATTTTTATTTTTAAAATACTTTTAGGTACATAGTAAGCTGATAGACAACCATTACTAACCAGTCTTGTCTAAAACAAGATTGGTAGACATCATCCATCTAGGGAGGAACTATTCTCTTATAAAAGTGTAAAACAGAGACAATCATTATTATTACATTATTATTATTATAATATTCACGAAGTGCTAAGCCCATAAGGGTTAGTGCTGCAGCTGCAGAGAAACTTTAATTCTCAGAGTTCTGGAATTTCAAGCCATTTTTATATACTACATGGCTCATGAAATCGTAATGACATGATTGCAAACAAACCATACCACGGGCGGGGATAGAACCCGTGATCAGAGTCTCAAAACTCCAGACCGTCGCGTTAGCCACTGGACCAGCTAGCCACAATAAGATTCGTCCAACTAGGTATATTTCTACACCATAGGAAGGTTAGCATAGGCACCACTGTGACCACAAATGCAAGTTTTTAGACGAATCTCCAGCTAGCATGGCCGTGACGAACTCTAGCTCAAGTCCCCTCAAAGCCGTCAACATGACTCTTATTGTGGCTAGCTGGTCCAGTGGCTAACAACGGTTTGGAGTTTTGAGATTCTCTGATTGCCGGTTCTATCCCTGCCCTTGGTATGGTTTATATACTACATCTCTAGGAATAATTATTTATGTATTATAAACTCTATGACTTAAGATACTCTTCCTATATTCTAACCAAGTTTGAACAACTAGAGGAAACTAAAACAAATCTTGAAGAAAATTATATACTGTATTGAAAATAAGTACATGAAAGTTACATAGTTGTGTGAAAATTGCTGTGCCTTGACCACACTGACATCATCCAGGCCAAATAAAAATGCTGCCTCTTACTGAGCACCATTTATCTCCATACCATACCTTTCTTCTCTTCAACTACCCATAACAGCTGAAAGGATGGTAATGGTTACAGATTATGAAGGAAACCAACCAGTCAGTTAAAAAAGCAAAGTGTGTTTGTTGCAAAAGAAGAATCATCGAAGAGGACACAGTAAGTCGGGGCATTAGAAAGCTGTGTCTGAAATGATGTTGGTGTGGTCTCCCACAAACAGGGAAGTCAATCTTTCCAAGTTGTAACATTTTCAGAAATATAAATACCTGAATTTTATTTAAAGTACTAATCCTGTGCAAAAATATAATAAAGCCAATTACACAATGTGTGCATGTGAGTGTGTTGCAGAAGACGAGGGAGGGTTTAGAAAGGCTAGGGAATGTGTTGGACAAGTGTTTACATTGAAGTATTAAAGTGAACAGTACTGCATTTATGGATTCAGAAACAAAATATGATAGGGAAGCAATGTAACAGAGGTTGCAAATGTATGTAACAGGAAGTAGGTTATTAGTAGCAGTAGAGTTTTTATGCAGATAGTGAGGCTCAAGTTAGAGTATGTAGGAGGGAGGAGGACTATTTCCCAATGAAAGTAAGCCTTAGCAAGGGATGCTGATATCACCATGGTTGTTTAACATATTTATTGAAGGGGTTTTAAAAATAATTACTGGTGTCGGGGAGAAGTGTGGGATTAAAAGATGGTGGGTTTGATACAATGGGAGTTGTCACAGCTGCTCTTTGCCAATGGCAACCATTAGCAAAAGTTGTTGGAAAAATCTGAGAGGTATGAAAAAGCAGGAAATTAAAAATGATCATAGAAAAGAGGAAGGTGATGAATGAAACAGTCTAAGCAATGATATATTGAGTATCAGATTGGGTGGAGAGAGTGTGGAATAACACTCATATGGATATGAGGCATGAGCTTTTAATGTTGCAGCAAAAAGGAGGCTAGAGGCAGCTGAGATGTCATGTTTGAGGGCAATGTGTGATGTGAATATTATGCAGAGAATTCAGAGTGCACAAATTAAAAGGTAATGCATGGTGACCACAGGTATGATTCAGAGCTGGGGTTGAGGTGAATTAGGCATATAGAGAGGATGGAAAGGAATAGGGTGATAAAGGGAGCATAAATCTGGTGGTGGAAGATAGGAGAGGCAAGGGGCATCCCAGGAATGGTTGAAAGGTTTCAAGTGTCAGGGGTTAGAGCATCCAACAGGCTTATACGAGTATCTTACATAGGAGGGAATGGAAACAAGTGGTTTTTGATGGATGTGCTGTTGGAGTGTGAGCAGGAAAACCTTTATGAAGGGAATCAGTGAAACTGGATACCCAGACTGGAGTCCTGGAGGTTGAAAGAGCAGTGCTTACACTCTGAAAGGTGGGGATGTTTACAATCAGAAGGGGTAGTCTGATTATATCTACACACCTCTGGAAAGACAGCATTTGAATGAATGTTGGTGAATGTGAG